GAACTCCTGATCTTGTGATCAAACCGCCCCAGCCTCCCAACGTGCTGGGAATACAGGTGTGAGCCACTGTGCCTGGCGACAGGGATGGTTTTCTAGGTGATGTGGGATCTGAGCTGTGCCTTAAACAGCAGGAAGGAGATAATCAGGGGCTGGGGTCAGGCAGGACAGAGCAAGACACTGCAGGCAGAGGAGAAGGATGAGCATGGGCCTGGAGCAATAAGCAGCAGAGTATCTGTCAGAAATCCTGTGCAATTGGGTGTTGCAGGAGCAAAAGAAACAAGAGAGAACTGGTCCCTGGGAGAGATTATAAAGGGCTTTGTATACCAGGATAAGGACCTCAGATTGTATTCTGTAGGCAGCAAGGAGCAGTCCATTCATTCAACAAATTCTTCCTAGGTGTCAGCCAACTGCTGGGCACTATGATTGATAGTCAGGATGCAATGGTGAGCAAAACTGACACCATGTCTGACCTCACAGAGCTTATGATCTGATGGAATGAAACTCTTTTAAAACTTGGGAGTGATGAGGGCCTTAACAAGAACAGCAGTCATGAATATGGAATAGGGGAGATTTATTTCAGAATGTTTTGGGGGTCAAAAATAGACAAGGTTTGGTGAGTGAGTGAATGAGGAGGGAGGGGAGAGAGAGAGAGAGAGCACATGAATGACTCTGAGGTTTATACCACAGATGGGCAGTGTCATACCTACTAGGACATGGAATAAAAAAGGATGAGTACAAGGTTTGGTGGAGACATGGAGAGTTTAGCTTTGGACTTGTTGAGCTGAAACAAGTCTACTTTCAGACTTCTTGAGGTGGATGTCTTCGCATGGAGATGGTTTTGCAGGTAGTTGGACATAAAAGTCTAAAGACCAAAAAAGAGTTTCAGACACACACATTTGGTAGCATATAGGAAATCAAGCCACTGTAGAGGAAGGAATTATCCAAGGAAGACCTGGGCAGTGGTAAGAAGACCTGATGTCTGTCCATAGTTAAGGAATAGATTGAAAAAGAGCGAATGATAGAAGAAAAAAAATTCACCAGTGGGTAACTTTATTCAGGAAGGCAAGATAGTTTTTGAAGTTGCAGTCTGTCAGTTGGGATGTTGGTGGCACAGTGACTAATGAACAATTCAGATTCATTCATTCCCTAAACACTCGGTGCCTGCTGAACATGAGCCATGCATTGTGCTGAGCTAGGAAAGGAGAAGACAGAGAAGATTAAGATACCATCCTCACTCCTGGAGGACCCTGTAGTCAGGGGAGGTCATTGCTTCTATTTTACTACCAGATGACAGTAAGATTGCCTTACAGATTGAAAATTCCATACATTGAATCATAAAGAACCCCCACACAACGTGTTTTGAAGTGTTCTTAAGAAATGATAGAAGGAAATGGGAGTGTTCAAGCTGTCAAAGAGAGGAGATATGGAGAGAATCGTAGCTTGCTTCAAATATTAAATGGCTGTCTGTTGGGACCCTAGAACTGGAAAAACCATGAGGAAAAATTGAATTACTTTATATATTATGTATCAATCAAGAACTTAACGATGGAATGAACGTTCTAGCTGTCTGCCTCCATTCGTGACAACAAAAATAGTGTCTGGAGGACATTGGCTGTCAATGGCAAGTTCGAATGCAGAGTCAGTGATCATTCAGGTCTTTCTAGCAATATTTTGTTGTTTTGCTGTTGTTGTGTCTTGCCCTGTGAACATCTCCTAGAGCAGTGGTTCTCAAATTTTGAGAGAATGGCATACCTGTTTGAGAATCGGATAAAAAGTTTGAACCCTATCCCTTGGAAAAAATATGCAAGTATGCACGTAAACCCAAATATTGTCCCAACAAGACCCCCCCTAAAATCTTCCATAGGAGATTCTCGACCTCAGGTTAAGACCACTTGTCTTAATAGATTTCCAGTAAGTAAGAACACAGCCGTTGCTTTCTCTGAAATTATATACATTGAAGAAAAAAGCCTCTTGGGGACTTAATTTAAAACCATGACTAAGGTTTTTTATTTATCTAATGCCATGCATTCTTGATTTTATTCTGTCAGTCTTACATTACAAGTGGCCCCAAGCTACTCACAACTTCACAGATATAGATACATAATCAGATGCACATATTTTATTTTAAAAATAATAATGATGTTTGGTGTAACCGCATATAGTCACAGAGATATGTTACTGTAACTGAGCTTCTCTGTAGATGAATTTGGGGGGAGTTTGTTCTGATTAGGGCTGTCTTACATATTTATATTGGAAGAGTTCATGAGCTATTTCTGATACTTAGACTTTAATCATGCTTAATGAACTGAACTAAGCATAATTCTCCTTCTGTTTTGGTAACTTTGTGGATTTCTTCTCATGCTCAGTTTCATGTGACTACATCATTCTTAAAATGCTAATACAAAATTGCTAATTCAAGAAAGGACCACAAAAGTTAGATTTCTCTTCAGAGAAGTACATTCAGTATTCACAGGCCTTCCAGAAGAGCAAGGCTGTGAGAAGAATGATATTAGGTGGAAAATACCGGCTCCTACCTTTGGTGAACACACAAATTTAAACATATAGGTTGCACAAAATTTGGATAAACTGAGGTGGAATCCAACATTTCTTGCATGAATTCCTGTATAATGTGGCGATAGCTGTGAGAAAAGAGGAGCCCAGCATCTAAGGCCCAACACAATGAAAATGCAATGAATCGGAATGCCTCACAGATCATAGTGGAATCAGAATTTCCAGCAAGGAAAATCTTTTCATGGTGAATTAAGTGGTGGATGAAGAAAAATGGTGATGAAAAAAGGTAGGCACAGATCACAAACACTGGGCTCAGGGCTCACTGCTGAAGATTTAAGAACCTTAGCAAAAGCTATGCAGAATAGAATGTGGAAAATTGAATTTACTAAACAATTAAGCATTGAATTAATCTACATCCTGCACAGTAGAAAAGTGGGGGAGGGAGCAGAGCAAAGCTGAATAAATCAGTGGAGCTCATTAAAAGATAGTGAATATATCAGGTCTGTTGTAGCATAAAGGAGGACAGTTTCCTGTATAACAAGGAATAATTCTTTGGTTCTAAGTCACCTTTTGGAGTCCTAGTCTTAATCAGACTAACAAACATGCTTCTGATGAGGTTGGTCTGTGGCTCTGTATTTTAGCTTGTTATCGCTAGCTTTTCTATTAATTACCAGTCAGATCACCAGTCAACAATAGTAGTGAGGGACAACATAAATAAAATGAGAGTGCCCAGGAGATGTCACTCGCAGGATCTCATGCATCCTGAAACTCCCACGGGTTCCTGCAGCCTCCCACATGCCTTGCTGGTCTTTTGTTCAATTACAGTTAATGCAATAGTTTGCCATTTTCTCTTTCTAATTATATTTTCAAGTGGGATTTGTAGCACATAGAAAAACATCCTTTTACATGTCGAGGCACCGGGGTTTTGTGCCTGGCATTGTCTGTCCCCTGGGTGCTGTACCATTCTTTCTGCAGAGCTCTGAATAAACAAGTCCCCCTTCTAGAGCTGCAGTTGTACAAACTGAAAATTTATGCATTAACTGTTTGCATTCTGAGCGTGTGTTCCAGATTACGTCTTACAGCATTCTTCTGGTATGCTGCAGAATGTGTGTTTGCAAAAAGCATTTCTTTCACAGTTCACATATCTTTCAATCACAGAATCAGCAGATCAATTAGCACTGTTTTTGAGAATATGCATAATGGGCGAGTCAAACATACAAATGGCATATCTTTCTATAACTTTATTTTCATTTTTCAGGCTGCATTCATCTTCTGGCCAAGATTATAGAATAAGTGACAGTGGTGCATCCTGTTCAGGAACAGTGACTCTTTCCCTTTGATTCCTATACAGCCTGCCTCTTAGATGGGATCTTTACTTTTCTCTCCTTGGGTGTCTGAGACATTTCAATCTGCTTAGCCCTTCTTATCTTCTCCAGGATAGGAAAATACTTTTCTAGAAATAAGCAAAGAGCTCTTTGATTTCACTACCCATACTTAAACATATTGGAAGGGTCAGCAAACTCTACTACTGTATAGTCATGGAGTGTGACCTTATGTGATTGAGATGATGTATACATATTTTACGTACAAGATCATCCTGCTTTCCCACTAATAATCTTGAAGATTCCACTTCCTAGCCAAAGACCAGCTTTGTATTTTGCATCATTTCTACTGTGCAGGATGACCAGTGACTCATGAGGCTGTTTTTGAAAGCTAGCACCAAAAGCTAATTAAAATCTTTTCTGGTGATAAAGGGAGATTTGGGAGAAGTGTCGCCATGATTGTTTTCCTCAAGAATTTAATTTACAGCCAGTTTTTCCTATCTGAATGTTACTTTCGAATGCACCCAGTGATAAGAAGCAACATCTGTTTTCCGTTTAGTAGTACAAGAAGGCTCTGCATGGGGCTGAGTGTACACAGTCCATGTGAACCTATTGTTATTCTCATTTCTTTTTTGTCCCCATGCCTGGTCCATTTGCCATGTACCATCCGGCAAACAGCTGACACATACTAGCTATTATGGACCCAGGCCTAATTGTGAGGTCTTAAAAGCTCTGCCATGTTTGTCTTCTAGAATGAATCAGAGCCCTCGATAAACCAGTGTTACAGACCACCATTCTCATTTTGCATTTCCAGAGTAGCAGACTGTTGTGCCAGAGGGTTTGTTGATGTTAAAAACATAGTCAGAATCAGTGGCGGCATTTTGTTTTCCTCTTTGCCTGGAATGTTTTTGTTTTCCTTAGTAATAAAGCATGCAGTTACTTACAGAATAACTATTTGTAGATATTATTTTAGCTTGGAAGCAGAAACTGGCAAATTACAAATGTACCAATGCAGCTCTGAGCTGGAACCATGGTTGAAGGGAGATGGGAAAAGTGGCATGGCTATGTGCTCCAGCCCTCCATGGCTTTGTCATTATGCCATGGGATCCTTGCCAATAAGGGTTCACAGATGCCTCTTATTTGGGTTTCTGATTTGTGCCCCCACAGCCCTCTTGGAACAGAGATCATGATGACACAGCATCTACCCGTTCAGGAGGAACCCCAGGCCCTTCCAGCGGTGGCCACACGTCACACAGTGGGGACAACAGCAGTGAGCAAGGTAGGAGAGATGCTATTCTCTGTTCTACTTGTTTCATTTTTAAGGATTAAAAAATCAGAACTGTCTAGTGAGTTACTAAGTATACTATACAGTTTTCCTAGAGGACAAGCCTCCTTTAACTTGGGAATCAGCTCATCTTATTTTATTCTCCGACCCTGTTTTCTTCTGTGCCATTCCAGCTGCCTAACTGCCTGTCATCTGGCCAGCTTCGTAAAACAGGGTCAGTGAATTGACTGAGGGCAAGATTAGGGAAGTAGCTTAGAAGTTTGATTGTGAATACATAGTATGCCACTAATACCCTGCTATGCAAATAAAAAGTATTACTACTGCTTGCCTTCAGAGGCTTTTCAAGAGCTCATGAAGAAACATCCACTAGGATTCTGAGTTAACGATGTCTTTAGATGCTTCTAAGGCCGTGGGCCTTTCAGTAGCACATGCTGGGCTTCCTTCTCCACTGGGTTGAAGCCATTTTTTTCTGGTTTTATTTATTTATCTGAACCTCTTAACTGCTTGGCTTCATTGCAAAGCCAGACTAAATAAAATTTAGGAAGAAATGAAAAGATAACAGATTAATTTAATTTGTGTTGTCCTGTGAATGCACATACCTGTGTGTATGTGGGTGTCCATGGATGTGCATTGCATGTTTGACTATAACTAGTAGAAAATAAAGTTTAATCATCAAGCTAATCTTCAGCAAAAGGGTAAATGAGTATTCAAATGTCTGTATTGCTTTTCATGAGATTCCACTGTGGTGGATTTTGTGTTCCATTAATACAATTAAAGTTTAAAGGAGAATTCTTTATCGGAATATAAAAAGGCTATTTTATTGAAGTTGACTCTGAACCCACAGTAGGTATATACTTTAAAATCTGGTTTTATGATCATGTTTCGCCGCAGTGCTGTTAGGCAACAAAGGAATTTTGTTGTCTAACTTAGTTGGGCTCTACCAATTAAAATTGCAAAGTCTACAATGAATTTAGCATGATTAATATGAAAACAAAAACAGGACAGTTAATTTTTCTTTAGGCACATGTATGCTCTTTGTACCGGGAATAACTTCTACAAATATAATTTTAAACATTTGAGACATTTTATTGTTCAAAAAAAAGTTGCTGACTTCATCACAACTATAAGCCTAGTAAAAACGGAGCCCAGAATAGTAAACTGGTTCAGAGCTGAGGCAGAAACAGGTAACCTCTGACCTCTGACTTTTACTGGAAAATGATATGCAGCATAAATCCAAGGGGCCTTTTTCCTTTCAAGTGTGTGTATGTATGTGTTATGGCGTTGCTGTTCACAGCACTATAGTTAAGGTGGTGTCAGCACTTTCAATATAAAGCCCTACTTTCATAACTCTACTTACACTATGAGTTTTCAAAAAGGTGTAAATGGAATCTAAATTCTTTTTCCTGTAGCCCAAAATTGCTACATGGGGTCACAGCCTAGTGTTTGGCTTCTTTTTCTTTTTCATTTCTTGCTTTTCAAAACTTATATCATCTGAGAATAGGTATAGTTAAGCTGTTACATTGAAGGCTTGCAAACTGCTGAAATGCACTTGAATTTAAAACTGTAATGCGTCAGTTTTCTCAAACATAATATGATAAGAGGATTTTCAGATAGCAAATGCCCAATACCAGTTCTTCCCCTCTGACATGCAGTAACAAGAAATTAGGAATGTTGTATGCTGCCTCTTCCTTCAACAAGTGTTCTCCAAAGGCCTATTTAAAAATCTGATTGTAACTAGGAACTCTATATTCTTCATATTACTAACTTTCCACTTAGAATGTTTCTTTCTATATTTTTTCTTTTTATATTTGAGTCCAACACCTAGTTGTTTTTAAGACATTTTCACATAAATGATCTTATTTGAATGATCTCAGCTGAATCATTTAAAAAAATCCTGGGTAGCAGATTAAGTAGGTGTAGCCCCATTTGACAGATGAGAAAAATAAGGGCATGGAGAAGCTGAATGATTTGGTGAGGTCCCAGTGGAGCGTCAGACCTAAACTTCCAGTTTCCCAATGACTGAAATAAGCTTATTCTCATCAGACCCTCTTTCCTCATCTCTTTACCAAAAAACTACAGTCAATAACTTCCACTGTCATCAAATAGAAACTTTCTGTGCTGGTTTCCCCTGCCCCACTTTTCTGTGCTTGCTAACAGAGGCCCCACCTTCAGTCTTACTTGTCCTTCCTTGTGGGTTTTCCTTGGCAGTTGAATTTATTTCTGCTAAATGCAGAATGATGCCTGAAAGTGTTGCTGCAACAACTTACGCACATTTCCATGCCAACCATGACCTTTCTAAACCTTTTTTTCATCCCTGAGACCTGCAGAGCTTGGTCTTTGTGCAGCCTTCGGATTAACTGTGCACAGTGGCTTTTCCATGTTTTCCCTGTTTGCCTTTTCTGGCAGGCATGGAAGTGTAAGCTGTGCCAGCATTTGGCCTGTAGTACATGTCCTAAATAGTTATTTACACAGTTTGAGTCCATTTTAGTCAACTGGGTAAATAACAGCCCTCTTCAAAAGATTTATAAATCCATAAATATGTCTTTATACATACCCAATAGACAGAAATAACTCAATCTGCCAAGAACATATCCAAAGAGGTGTTTCCCCCACAGACAGGAGTAATACATATTTTAAAACTTTCTCTGCTGTATTATTTGTACTGCATTTCTTTCTTCCTCATTCCTTTTCCATTTTTACCGCTTCATTATGGTACCTGTGTCACAAAAAGGAAAAGAAAAGAGAAGAAAAAAGAAATCCCTTAGGCTTTAGTCCTCTGTTAAATAAGCTTATCTGCTGTACAGTGGAGGCATGTAACAGGCTATATATATCTTAACTGAGTCCTCTTCTTTTGAACTTTCAAAGTAAATAAAATGAAATAAGTTATGCAGGAAATTTAAAATTTTCCAACAGATTTCAAAATGTAAGAGTTTCTGGTTAGAGTTCCAGCAATTTGGGGAATTTTGAGTGCCTGATAATTTGCTGAATTAGTAGCTGTTGTGATCACTGAAAGAGTTTTAGTACACATTTTTACCTAAACATTAAAAAAAGAAATGCAAAATCCATGACTGGGGACAGTGGCTCACACCTGTAATCCTAGACTTTGGGAGGCGGAGGTGGGTGGATCACAAAGTCTGGAGTCTGAGACCAGCCTGGCCAACATAATGAAACCCCATCTCTATTAAAGATACAAAACTTAGCTGGGTGCTGTGGCGAGCACCTGTAATCCCAGCTACTTGGGAGGCTGAGACAGGAGAATCGCTTGATCCTGGAAGGTGGAGATTGCAGTGAGCCAAGGTTGTGCCGCAGCACTCCAGTTTGGGTGACAGAGCAGGACTCCATCTCCAAACAAAGAAAAAAAGAAAAAAGAAAATCCAATCGTGGGCATTCTAAAGACAATGTACATAAGATATGTAATTAAGAAAATACCAAAGATATTTTGTGAAATGAATACTAAAGGTATTTATTTCATTCAGGGATTTAATGTTTGTTCATGATTTATGCAATATGTCTTTTCCTCAATTAAAATTTTCATGACAACTTTTTTATGATATCTACTTCCATTCAATATTAATACTTATGGCCCCTTGCAGGAGATTGATTCTTTAATAGTAAAGTCCTTTTCAATTGGCATTTAAGAGGGAAAGCCTCACATCTGTGTTTGGTTGGGGATTCTGTTGCTGTTGCTACAACACTGATTTTGTTTACTCTTTAACTTCCTCAAAGCACTTCCAAAGATACCAGATTGAATCCTTATTTTATCCCTGGCAATTATTTGCTTTGTTTTCCCATTTCACAGAAGAAAGAGGTAATAGCTCAGAAATATTGAAGAGTGAGTAACTGCCAAAGTCAGCTTCAAGATCTTGGTCTCTTGGCTTTGGAACTGCTTTAGGGTGGGGTGTCTGTTTCCAGGGCTGCCAAGTAGTGTCTCATAATAGGAGGTACATGATGGCAGAGACGTGTGGCTTTCATGTGTCTTTTGCGTCCTACTGTGCATGACTGCCCACCTGACCATAATCAGGGCCCACTCTGGGAACTGTGTGATTTGGAGTGGGGGAACTTCAAGCAAATTGGGTCCCTCTTCCACCTAGATTTTTACTGCTCCTCCAGAGGCCTGCCACAGCCACTCTCTGCCTCTTAAGCAGTTTCAGCTACGATTGACCACATTTTTGAGTTTGGACAAGTCTCTCTTTTTGCTTTCAAGTTAAGAGAGGTAAACAAATGATGGTAAAAGATAGCAAAATAGGATATGAAGGGCTGTCAGTCAGTGTAGATATTTCCACCCCTCACTTTTTGAGTGAGGTCACGAGGGCTCAGATCGATAAGGAGACTTGTCAAAGGCACTGGTTGGTGCTCCAGTTGGGACTTGAACCCCTGCAGTCTGACTCTAGAGCTCAAGATTCTAACTGTGATGTCCTATTTGATACACTGCTTTCCTGGAGAAACAGACCATTTGACAGACATTCTTTCTGTTACCAGTTTGACAATTCTCTCCCCAGTTGTCTGTACCGAACCTGGCTCTGTGCTCCCTAATGGTGATTTAGCTATGAATAAGACAGAATCGCCTTAGACTCAGAGGGGTAATATTCTGCTGAGGAGGGAGAACCTAGTTTTGCATGCAGAGTGGAATGATGAATGAAGTATTTACAAAGGGAGCATGATGACTGATATGATTCACTGGTATTATGTATTAAGAGCCTATATCATTTCACTCATTCAAAGACTTAGTGAGTTAATAGAAGCATGGGAACAAGTAAGGATGTTGCTCTTGCAGAACATTTTCCACTTAAAGCTCATCATATTTTCCTCTTTTGTGAGGATCGAGAAAAAGTATTTTTCTACATGGAAATTTGATGTAAAACATTTTAACCCTAAAGGCTTTTAATGATTGCTGGAATCTCTAAAACCCACTTATGAACTTTTCCTTTAGGGGGCAGGTCTCAGAATAACAATAGTACCACTTAAAAAAAGAAAGAAAGGCAAAGCCAGCATGC